AAAGACATAACTGCTTTCTAAAAATGATCAAAGTTCACAAAACAGGAGTATACAGCCCACATGCTGTGCCGAGTGAAAAAAATAAAGCAGAGTTTTATATGCAGTGGTGTGTGTAGGTGCAAATATGTGAACCGTTGCCACTGCGGCTTCAACTTGTTGAATCCTTGCTGCTGCTGCTGCTGCTTTAAAGGCTGCACACAGGCACGGTTAACATATTGGCTTTCTATAATTTAGCGGAATTAAAATTGTAACACGTGTCGTGAGCTGTTTTTAAGTTTTCTATTCTTAAAAAAAAAGAAAGAGGAAAAAAAAAAAAAAAACTTAAGTCATGATCCACCTACGAGCTTTCGCAGTCCTGCTTGGTGTATGGAGTTATCATTGTCAAGGTCGTGATGACAAAAGGAGCTGTTTCCATGACGACCGAGTGAAATCCATTTGCCGAGGAAGACTTTGAGTTGCTGTTAAAATCCCTGGATAAAGCTGCAAAGTTGACTTATTTATTTATCTATTTTACTTTTGTCCGGCGTCGGACCTTGTCGCGAGGTCAAGGAAAAACCTCCACCCTGATTAAACCGTGTCTCGTGCATAGTGTTGTGTAATTAGCACAAGCTCTTTGAGGACTTTTTTTTTATAGATTTTTATATTAACAATGGATCACCACTTGTTTATGAGAGAGGGAAGCTTAAAGCTCTTATTAGCTTCATTTTCAGCAGGCGGTGTTCCCAAAATCACCTATAAGTTAGCAACTAGCATTTGAATGAGCATTTAGCAGCATTTTATAAGGTGATAATTAACTAATTTTAATGCCAATTTGACATGTCTTAGATGCTTGCTTGACCTCTGGGAGGAAATCTGCATGAAATCCTGTTGGGTTTTCTCCCCGCTAAGTCAAGAGCTAACAGCTAAATAATGGATATGAGCGTGTAATCATAAAACAAGCACAAAGATAGATAAAAATGTAATGTGTGGTTATTTTGTCGATTATTAGAAGGAATCCAAAACTGGATTTGCAGTTATATATCCTCCGAAAATCCCACCCACAATGTTCTGCCTGGATCCCTCCATCTTTTTTTTCTTCCTATATCTGTTTTCGCCCTCCTGACCGCACCATCCGATCTTCCCATCCGACCCGTGAACCTCTGTGAAAAGGATGCCGTTCCCTGTGGACCAACACAGCTGAAGATAGCGCACACACACACACACGCATACCAGGAAATCCTCAGCTCTATTTTATTTATTCATGCCTCCAACTCCTTTCTCTGCAAAAAAGATAAGTACAGCGAACACGGGGCTGGGGATGGAATTTTCTCCCCGAGCCACCACCACCAGCACCGCTACCACCGCCACACACACACACTGACATTAAAGCACCGTTACCATTAACATCTGACCTTGTCCCAGCACATTCCCCAACATGAATTTTAAACAAGCACCCTCTTCTCCCCAGACCTAAATGACCCCCTCTCCCCCTCCTCAAATACCTTGCAAAATTATTCATCACATTTTCATATAACAGTAGCCTCAAGCCAAAACATGGGATGGGTTCCTTACGCTGGATTTCCCACAGTATTGATCAAAACTGTCAAAAAAATTCCTTCGGCTGCATGCCAGACATTGTTGAGAGTGAAAAATACCGCTGGAGCGTGGACATTCGTATGCACCAGTCAGAACAAACAAATCCTAATGGAGGGATAGCAGCTTTTTATTAATGTGTGCGCCGTGCTGGGTGGAGAGCAGGTTCTAAGGAATGCATAATATAACACAGAGGAGGAATGAGGGTGGTTTTTTTTTTTAAGAGAGAAAAAAACTCAAGTTGAAGCTACACTAACACCAACACCTCAGTGGCAGGTTGATATTGTCCAGGTTTTGACAGAAGGGAGAAAATTCCATCTAATTGAAGGATGCTTGTCAGCCCCTCCGACCATCAAACTGATGTCAGGAGGAAAATTGCCTACCAGCCGCAGTCTGCTCTTCCCCTCAGCAGCGGCGCGCCGACTGTCTCCAGATATGGGCAGGAGCCTCCTTATTCAGCCGGGGCATTGTAGATCAAAGGAGCAAAAGCACAACACACTCTTGAAAGATGTCACCTAATGGCACTGGCCTGACGGTGGATTTGAAGCTCCCAGTCCTCCCGCTGAAGGACTGCACTGATCATCTTGGTTACCTAAAGCTGTTGTGCCAGATCTCTGTCTTTGTCTGCTCTGCTCGGTGGGCGACATGCTGCATTAGTCGTGCACAGATGCGTGGATAAAGAAATGGATGGATTAAATCGTGTAGTCCCAGCAAATCATACACCTCCTGTACAAATAGAGCGCTGAATTAGCAGGAGGCACAAAGATAATCCTGGTTATATTGGTGTAGTTTTCAACTTTTTCTCTGCATGACGTGCATAGAATGACACATACTTATAATTCTTTCTCCTTGATATGCTGTTTTATTCATTTACAACAATGCCACTTTATTAATTTTAAAGTAAATTCTTGAACTTCTTGCTGTGAGAAGCTGGTTAATACTGAATATATAACTTTGTTTCACAGGGAAAGAGACTCACTGATCTAAATGAAGGGATAAAATAAGTCAGTTAACCAGATAAATATACACATTTAAAAACAGATGGCAGATTAAAATTAAAAGTGTACCAAAAATGTATAGATTACAAAACCATAATTTGTTCTGATTATGAAGAATAAATCCTGCAATCACAGCTGTTCCACTGGTGTTTGGGTATAAAGTCGGATTACATAGAAAAAAAAGCAATGAAATGGTGACACTGTGTGGTCGTAGTATGTAAGTGAAAGTCACACTGAGTAGTACCAGTGGTGGAGGAATGTTCAAGTCATAGTTCTGGTTTAAACTACAGAATTAGTAGCTGCAAAATAAATAGATAAATAATAATAATAGGAATAAGATGAACAATAAACACTCATTACTCAAAAAGCCTTTTAAGAGATTAGATGATTAAATATGCACACAGTGTTTATGGTTTATAATCTGTCATTTTTTTGCTTTATTAATAGTGAATGCTATTTTCTAATGTTCTATAGGCACAAGCCGATGATTACAACAACTCTGACCTGCCAGGTTGTTAAAAATCTTCCTCCAGCTTGACACTGTAGTCAATAAACCTTTGATTAAACGCTTTGTAATCAGTCATATATCTGCAGATGTGAATGCTGTGAAGTGATGAGGCTGTTGGAATGTCATGAGTTAACGGTTGTCACTTACCTGTAATTATAAACGGTCATTAATAAGTAAATAATAATAAGTCATTTGTATAGGGGTGGGTTGCAAGGTGGATTGGTGGTTAGGATCGTTGCCTCGCAGCAAGAAGGTCGCCGGTTTGCGTCCCAGTGAGGACACCCTCTGCGTGGAGTTTGCATGTTCTCCCCGTGCAGCGTGGGTTCTCTCCGGGTTCTCCGGCGTCCTCCCACACAGTCCAAAAACATGTTGAGGTGAAATGGTGATTCTAAATTGTGCGTAGGTGTGAATGTGAGTGTGCTTGGTTGTCTGTCTCTAAGTGTAGCCCTGTGATAGACTGGTGACCTGTCCAGGGTGTCCCTGAGATAGACTCCAGCCCCCCGTGACCCTAGTGAGGATTAAGTGGTGTATAGATAATGGATGGATGGATATTTTTCTGTATGCTAGTGGCTGTGACTTTTCATTTCAATAATAAGGTTAGTGGTGACTAATTATTATGGCCTGTGTAGCTGTAGAATCATACTGACGCCGGTTGATGTAAATTCTTTATTATTTTCTTGTATTTCACAACCATATGTGACTCCATATTCAACTTGTTATTCTTCTTGTATCACAGTAAACGTTCCACAACGAGGTAACCGAAGAACTGTTTGTCGATGGCCTATAAGATCTTTAAAGCATTAGTAGAGTAATTAGTTACTTTAACAGGGTGGTACCTGTATATTGTTATTGGATTATTATTGTTAATCTCAGATTTCGATGCTGTTGGATAGTTTAACTGATAACAAACCGACATATTCTATAAAATCATCCTGGGTTTTGTAGGTAAATGCTTTATTTGCAACATAACCAATAGGGTTAACTCTCATATTCAAAAGAGTAAATAGTGTAACATGTCTCTCTGAAATGCAGTGGAGCAGAAGTATGAATAAATAGCATTACAGGGAAATAAGTAACTGAAAGGAAAATGAATTTAATTACACTCCACCAGTGTAAAGAAGCTCTTCTCTTCTCTTTTTTTCTGTCGATTTAATTTGTGCTTTCATATGTCATTGTTGAAATTTTAATATCACATTTGCTGCCATAGAGGCATCGACCTGTTGTCGTAGAGCAATTCATCTTCCCGCATTTGCTTTTGCCAAAAGCTCAGCGTCGTTGCTCAGGAGATGAGTCATTTACACCTTTTAACAAGGACGTGATCCACAGCAGGACGATTACAAACCACTTATGTCACCTTTGCCAAATTAACGTTAAAAAAGGTTTGCAAAACATCGTCCGGTTTATTCTCATTCCAGATCCTTTGTAATACAGGAGACACAAGCAGATGTTTTATGGGGTTTTTTGGTTGGTTTTTTTAATGAAGTTACACTGATAATGTTGTATAAATGCCAACAGATGTGCGAGCCTGTGAGGAGTAGAAACAATGGTGCAATCTGCCACAGGTTGGGATGTGAGACAATACACTGGTACAGAAGATGCTACTGTATGAGCTGTTTAATACTGTGAGGTGGTGTATCAGCAAATACAACGTCAGAATATTAGTGCAGACAGAACTAAGGAACACTTTCAATGTTTAAATTATTGTTGGGTTCACTCACAGATGTGGCCTTTTGTAATCATGTTGGCTAAAGACTAAAGACTTTGATAACTTAAAAACCAGTTGGACAACATGGCGATGGACAAGATATACAATCATTCTGGGCAGTAAACGTTCAGCTGTGAGAATTTCTTTTGTCCCAGAGTATAAAAAAATGAATTTGTTCACAGTATAACCAGCTGCAACTCCTCAGTCTCGGTTTCTTTCATAGATGAGGATTGAAATAGGTCGGCTGGACGAATCCATTGGACATGAAGGGATGCAGGAGCCCTCCAGTGGTGGAAAGCGGAACACCACCGGCCGTGTGGAAGATCACATTCCCAGAGCTGAAGTTGGAGAAAGTTTGGTGGAAGCTGGCGGAGCTCGACCCACAGGTGGCCTGGTTGGGGCTGACCAGGGCGTTGGAGCCGGGCTGCAAGGTGCTGTCCACCCCGGGGTTCTGCTTTTTCCACTTGGTCCTCCTGTTCTGGAACCAGATTTTCACCTGGGTCTCGGTCAAACTTAAGGACAGGGCCAGGTTTAGTCTCTCGCACACGGACAAGTAGCGAGTTGCGCGGAACTTGTTTTCCAGAGCCACCAGTTGTTCGTAAGTGAACGCTGTTCTGGCGCGCCGCGGTTTGGCGCAGGCCGCGTCCTGGCGGCGACGCTTGTGCGGCGAGTGGTCCTGCAGGGCCACCGCTGACTCCCGGTCCCCGTCGTCCTGCTCCCCGGCGGGGCAGGGCTCTGTGTCGGGCGGTGGGGAGAGCAGGAGGGGGTCACCGACAACCGCAGGGTGCTGGGAGAGCGCAGAGTGGTCATCTCCTGCCTCGTCTCCTGTGGATAAACAAGAAGAGTTCGCTCACATCCTGCTGCAGATTCATCTGATGGGTCGATTTGAATCATATAATTTCATTTTCACCAAAAATAGAAAATTAAAATAGACTAGATAGGCAACATAACTATTTAAGGGCCAAATTTAAGGGAAAAAGTTAATTTAGAAAATGAGAACAATAAAGGAGACGCTTGGTTTTAGTGGTGCTTCAAGATCAAACTAGATTTTTAGAGATTTGGGTAATAATATTACAATTGTAATAGAGGAATATTGTACATTAAGGTTTTTCAGGTGCCTGTGCTTTGAATTATGGCACAAAAAGACAAAAGACAGTCGCTAAATGGACTAAACTGTCAGTGGTGCTGAAGAACAGCCACTGACGAGACAGAAATCGTGCGTCAAATCCCCAAGTTGAAGGCCTGATTAGGAAATGTATCCTCATTGTGCAGCGATGATCTTTATTCACACACAAGGCCCAAAGTTGACATCTGCAAAGTGTTTGATTAGGATCCCGAGTTCGTTGGAGCGGAACGAAGCATCGGAGGAGGGGAAGACTTGGTCACTAATCCTTAAATAATTTATAAACCACACAGCGCCTCAAATGTCATGTTGCGGAAAGAAATCCCGTCTAAATCCAGCTCCGCCACCTCAGCCGTGACGTGCTAATGGAGTTTCATATTTGCGGGCGGATCAATAAATGTCATCTATTTAAAGGGAAGTTTTAATCGAACGATATTTAGGATCAGACATGGATGGGGTGTGAAGTTTGTACCTGCAAGGTGCTGGAGGGAGATATGCAGGATGCAGTAATGGGATATCGATCAAAGCGCGCACAGGCATCCTCAATGGGACGATTTAAACAATTATCTAGCCTGCCTGTCCCAATGCCAATCACACGCTGGGGCTTTGGGAGCAAGCCTTTGTGGCTTCCTTGAAAGGAAACGCAGCCTTGGAAATTAAGGGAAGGTCATAGAGAAATGGCAATAAATCTGATAGAAAGCGTCTCAGTTTTCTGATGTTTAGTCTGAACCCACAGCAAAAACTTTTCTGTATTGTAAGATTTCAATTCAAAGATATATTTTGCTCCTGAGCTCCTATTTCGCAGTGCTTAGATTTGCCATTTATATATTTAGATGTGCATTTGCTGGTAATTCTGGATTTTAAAAATAATTTACTTATGAAAACAAAAAATACAAGACAATATATTTCAGGTAAACGTTTGGGCTTCCCTGAATATTAAAATAATTTACATATATGATTCCCCTACCTGCTTCTGTGCGCTGAACTCTGAAGTCTCCCGCTGCACCACTGTCCGACTCCAAACTTGTTTTCTCTGCATTTGGCACAAGAAACTTCTCCTTCACGATGGAAAGTTCGTTCACCCTTTTGCTGTTGAATTTGTTCGGATCCAGTATGTCAATTATAGAAAAGGAAATTTTATGACTGGACGTCATTGTCACTCTTTGGGTTCCAGCATCCTTTATACGGAAAGACCCTGAAAGACGGAAAAGCGACCGCTGTGCGTAATTACGCGTGTGGAGAGGAACTTCTCATAGTTTCGCCTAGTTCTCGTCTTCAAGCTTCATCAGACCGGATTAGCGGTGATGATCCCTCCGGAGTGAATGTGGGCTTCGCTCCTCTGCTTCTGTCTGTCAGTCTTGCAGCGTGAATCAGATGACCGGAGCGCGGTCTTTAAAGCGTCTGTCCCCCCAGTCTCTCATCCAGACACGTGACACAAACACTATTAGTGTTTCACACGACCACCTAATGGGCTCAAAGCATTCGCCGATAATCACCCATATCATTAAATTCAATAATTCACGACTTGAAAGTAAATTGGGCACAGATGGCACCTGATTCATATCAGACATCGTCCTGTCTCCCCAAATTGGAGTCTTTTAGACGCGTCAGTGTCCGGAAGGGGATTTTCGTGTCCCTTGAGAAACAGACAAACTTTCTCTTAATAGAAACCAAACTGCTGTCAGTTTCTGCTTTCAAACCGCTGACTGTTTACAGAAATGTTACAGCATTAACAGTACAATAACCTTTTATGTTTAAAGTATTAAATATAAACTCATTGAAATGTCACATTATAATGTAACTGTGTCAATAAAGATGCAGCAACTGAACAAGAAAATCACACAGATATCTAGTTATAGTGCATACAGGTAATATCTGGGCATTGATATGATATTTAATAGCTCTAGAGTGATGATTAATTAGTGGCATTGTGAATATATTACTCTTTATCTCTGATTAAAACCTCTTATTTGCTTATTTAAAATTGCAGATGACTTCTTTTATTGATGAAATTAGTGATAATACTGTGTCGAGTACAGCATTTCCTGAATTTTTACACAATCTTTCAGTGCACTAAGATGCATTTCATAAAGTTTAAAGACGAAAAATAATGCTTGCAAAGGGAAGGTTTGTTGTTTTTTGATTTGTTGACACTCACGTGTACTGCATTTGCTTTGCAATGGTAAAGTGTCTTAAACTTGCTTATCAGAAAAAGCTAAATAAGGATGCATGCTTTGGGCAGACTAAAAGGATCCATGATGCCTCACTAATCTATATGCTTCTTTAAAGCCTCCAAAGCTAAATTGCAGGCATAGAATAAATGCACCTGATTGGTTTCTCACCTAATGTGATAGATTTATATTCACAATCAATCGGCTCCCTAGTCGTTGTGATTAGTATTCAATATAAACTGACACAGGGTTGTTTAAAGCTTGATGCCTGGTGATGGCTAAAATGGTGAAACCAGCACAGGATCAATATTCTCAGCAGGTGTCCAATACAGATAAAACCTGATGGCTTACAGACAGTCATTTTGGATACTGGGAGGCTAAACCAGCAACTGCAACTGCACAGACGGGCTTGTTTGAAGCTTCCTTTAGTCCTTGAATGACCTAAATTATTCTAGATTATTTGCATTTCCAGTTAATCCTCAATTTATATTAGCAATTTTTGTTTTCCTAGGATTATGCTAGGTCCAAATTGGTGATAAAAGCGTATGCTTTTCCTCTGCAAGCTGTGGTTATTAACATATTTTACCATCTAAGCTTGTGAGGTCTGTGTGGATGAGACAGAAGGCTGTCCAGCGGTGGTGACATGGGAGAGCTAATCATGTTTACACACTGTTAAAGGCCTCCCATACACAATTTCCTGTGTTACTCACACAGTTCAAGGTGATTGCTCCGCTATGTGGAGGTTTCATTGCTGCCCAGTCGTAGTCTGGTGGACTGGCGTGGTCTGGTCTGCAGTTACATAGTCAAACATTTGTTAAAGCCGCCACTACAGGGTGTCCGCATGTCAGCATTTGCATGTGTATGGCACTTGCACGGCCATTACTGTAGTCCCTCCATATGAAAAGAGGCCGCTGCACACTGGAGGTTTACAACTTCCTACGAGAAAGCCCAGTGGCCGGACATCTGTTTGTGTGGGTCAGCGGGACAAAGGGACGAGCCCCGAGGACAAAGAGGCCCTCAGGTAGACTTCAGAGAGCGGGAACGGCAGCTGGCTCTGCTCTGAGCCTGCACGGGCCGGAGCAAGACTTCAGAGAGGAGGGGCGACCCTGTCGAACACCGCAGGGAGCCGAAGAGACACACTTCCATCCAAGACCCCCCTCCAGGGTCAATAAAGTCATCACTTCGCAGGGAGGCTGCCCCCAGTCTGCTAAACGTCAGATAATTTGTCTAATGGTAGGAGTGGCATTATGAGCTGCAGTTCTACTCACAGACTGTAGTGTCCATTGTTTCCCCTAAACTCCACCAGTGTCTCTCTGACTCTCCTGTAAAGTGGGACTCAAACAAAGGATCAGCAGGTGTCTGGTCAAACATTAAGGAGGCTATTTTGTCTTCTTCTGTGTCTGATTCTGAAACTCTGAAGATGTTGTCAGGAAAATACAGAAATGTTACTGAAGAACATAGTTAGGATTTTTCGAGCTTTAATGCATAACTTTGCGTTCGATCCCTGTTTTAGTGAAGGTTTTTGTTTGTTTGCTTGTGTTTTTGGAAGACTTTTACAGCATTATCACAGATGTAACAGTAGAGATATGATGAAAACTGTGCTTTAGAGGGAGAAAGGTCTCATGCAAAGAATCCTAATGGTGACTTTTTCTCTAAGTTGAAATTTGGATAAATAGTAGTTTATGTCCAAATACCTGCAGCTCTAATGACAATACTAGAATATTAGCATTGTCACTGCACATTTCCTGACATTAGCATTTAGCACAAATCCTCACTCTGCCTGCTGGCACAGCCTCACAGCTGCCAGCATGCTGCAGACTCTTTCAAATTGCTGCATTCAAGTGTTCTTGACACAAAGCTGTAATATTTTTTTTGATGAATTCAACTCATAAATCCACATTATCCTTTTTGCACCACTTGTGTTTGCTTAATATTTATAATCCGACTTTTATCTGACAACAGAGCTTGTTTTTGGCAGCAGCTCCGCAGATCTTGGAAGCAGTTTTTGCGACTGATTAATGCGACTTTGGCTGTAAAATGATAACGGATGCATTACTCGAATATCACACAGTTTTTGAGTCTCTGCGAGTTGACACTGGACGTAGAACAGACCGCAAAAGTTCACACACTGTTAGACTCTGGTACTCACTTTATTACTGACATTCTCAGTAAGTCCAAGTAAAACTACAACTCAGACTGTCTGCAACTCAAACTTCTTCTGCATAACTGATGCACAATGCTGTGATCTTCTCATACGTCTTTCTCGAGCGCAAGAACTTTGTGTGTTACGTCCTGTGCTGACTTCAGAACTTACAATAGTATGATAACATTTTCAGCACTTCTTGTGGTTATTAGATGATGCAAAACCTCCAATTTGGTCATGTAAATGCCGTGTCTTTTAATCTGAACGCAGTGGCGGTTATCTCAGAGTATTGACTCCTGCTACTACGTATGCTTCTACTTTATCTCCACTCAGAGGCAGCTGGCATCGATGTGTGCCAGTGTAGATCAATACAGTACAATCTTCCTTAACGGGCATAAAGCTTCTCTCTCTCTCTTTTTTTTTTTTTTCTTGCCAAGTCTCCCTCATGCCTACGGGTGTTACCGCCAGCCAGGCCTCCTTTCAGTTAGACCTCTGTGTTTGTTTGACTCTCTCCGACAACAAGGTCAGTGGCATTGCCCAGTAATTGTCCTAACGGCCTGTATACCTGTTGGGTGGAGGCGAGTAATGAGAGTTTTTCATTACAGGCGGGACGGGTGAGTGCGCCTGGCAGATGCTGACAGGCAGCAGATGTGTAAAGTTGGGGGTGATTTGTAAAGGGGTCAACTGCATCACAGAGGAGATGGAGGGCGATGCGGGGCGGGGGTAAATTATGCTGAGGGACACTGTCAGTCATACTGCACCCCTGTCACAACAAGGTAAAGGTCAGTTCAAACATCGCTGTTGTCAACTAACAGCCGGAATGGCGTGGCCGTGTCAGCGAAGTGTGCAAACTTACTCCCACGTACTGACGGGAGGAGTTTAGCGAAGTCGGTGGAAAAACTGTCCTTATAGTTTCATTTACACGATGCCGTCTGACGCACAAAGCTAAATGGGATGTCTTCTGTTGCATTAACAAACATCAGACACCAGAAATCTATTCAAAGACACTCCAAAGATCAGAGCACTTGATCTTGTTTCCATCTCTTTAGCTCAGGCTCCCTTTTAATTGTGTAGCATCAGATGATCAGTGATCTCTACCAAGTAAAATCATACAGAGGTTAAACACTAACAGTAAGTATTACACTTTGTAAAACAGCATTTGCCCAGTGCTCAAGGACTCTGCACAAAGCCAGTGGAATATCCTGGCTAGCCTGCAGATTGTTTGCTCTGTAAATTAAGCCGCAAAGGTGTTTTGGCCTGCATGTCTTGTCCCCACAAAAACTGAGATTGCAGCCACTGGGAGGCGAGTAGAGGAGAGTGTACACAATTAGAACGACCAGGAGGATACAGGCAGTGAAGGCTGCAGCTGCCTGTTTTCCACGGGGCTGAGGCCTGCTAGTAATGGCTCTGGCATCTGCAGCGAGCGCACTGTCACTCAACGTGAGCATCGATTAGCCATTGTTCTGAGAAGGTCACATCATAATTCATTAACAATAATTAGTCCCGCAGTGCCACCTGCACTCCTTCTCTCGATTGCCCTGTTAAATTACGAGCAACCATCACGGTTCACGCGTGGAACAATGAAGATGTATCCGCAACGTAAAGGCAAGAGCTATTAGTTACATTATTTAAATGGACCCGTTTAAACCTGGGGAGCTGTCTTTATGAAGGGCAATTAGGCACTAACCGTAATTGATAATTCACGCTAATTACAATTAGGAAATATAAATAGTGGGTGTGGGATTAATCATCATTGTGGCTAAGCAGGGAGCAGCCACGGTGCAGGCTGGGTAGGTGTGATGGAAGGCAATGGATTGTGCTCCATTCATCTCCATCTAGC